CGGGGGGGTGGCGTGCCGTGGGCTGCTGGGGCTTTGTGGGGTGTGGGACGTGTCCCCAGAGGGGTGACGGGGCTCTGGGGACTGATGCTGGGGGAGTGTGGGGCTGTGGGTGGTCGCACAGCTCCTGGCCCTCAGGCCTGGGCCCCCTCGGCTCCGTTGTGCCACACCTGCGGCCCAAAAGTGCCCGTCAGGGAAGGGGGTGAAGCAAACCATGGTGTGGGAATCCAGGGTCAGAATTAAGATTTACCCACTGAAACAACGATGTGATGGGACAGGGCAGCTACAGGCTCCTTGTGTGAAAGAAGACTCCTTCTGGAAGAAGTCTCTTCTCAAACACCACGGCCACGTCCTAGGAGATGGGTGCGGCTGGCTGAGGAAATGTCTTGCACATGGGCAACATCTGTCTGGGCAGACTCACATCCTGGGTTACAATACAGGGCCTAAGAGAAATTATTTAATGCTCTTTGAAATTCCCCACCTGATTTACTAATTGGAGAGTACTCAAACCCAAGCAATATTTTCCTTGGCTTATGCTAATGCAAACAGTTTCCTCAGCTGTTGGCATTTGCCTACAGATGAAAGTGCAGAAAGAGCAGAGATTATTGTCTTTACGAAAGCAGATTTGGAATCTGGGTTTGTGGTTGCTCTAATCGCAGATGACAACTACCTAGCTTTAATTTTGCTCAATTTTCTAGCGTTGGCTGGAGGGCGTATTCATTTAGATGGACTACCAAAATTCCAGGCGTAAGAGTACCTGATTCTAATTATCTTAATAAAATAGAAATTATTTTTTTCATATCATATGATTGACTTCATATATATATATATAATTTTTACATAATATATATCTGGTGAATTTCTGTAAGTAAAGCAGTTTTAGCTATGATTTCTCATAAATACTTAAAATAGCTGACTGTTGCAGGATGTTCCCACTTGTTCTTACTGTTTGTGAAATAATACTTAGATACCCTGTAGAAAATCTGAAACATTGCAGCCTGCAAATGAGAATCACAGACTTGGTGCAGAGCTTGGTTTGCTGCTGATAGCTTGGAATTGCCATCAGAGTAGCATCTACTTCTGATTAGTGTAAATATACGCGATAGCTACAGAATCTTGTAAAAGGGCACGGCTGTCCATCTCTTATAAAAGTGAAGTAAACCAAATATTGCAGTGAACTTCAACTGCTTTTAATTTTAGGACATCTGGAAGTAGTTATCTGAATGGAAAATGTAAGAGGTGTTGACAAGTTTCGGAAGATACTAGAGGACTACAGATACTTACTTTGGAGGGCTTCTGCAAGACATTTTCAAGAACCATGAAGAAATTGCTGCTGTAATTATTTAATGACAAGGAATAAAAACTGGGAAGAACTTACTTCTAGTTGAATCTCTGAAAATGAGTAGCCCTGCTGTTGTCGTTTATCTTGTTTTGCAATTAATACAAGAGGCGGAAGCATCTGTTGGGAACTGCGTTCCCAGAAAAACGGTAAAATACCAAAGTAAGTGAAAAATAGTAATTTCACAAGCAGAAAGAAACCCAGCACAGTGTTGGGAGTTTATTTTTTATTAGGCATAGAAAGAATGCTATGGTCTGTTTCACCTGAAGTGTTGCCGGTGCACTCATCCAAATGACAGTAAGGAGCGCCTGAACAGTATTTGTTGTAGCTGGAGGTTCTGGCTTACAGGTAACGATAGTGTTGTTTATTTTCCTGTAATAAACTGGGAAAAGAATATCCATTAATTTATTCATATATGTTCATATTATTTAGAAAACGTTCTGGAAATGGGTCTAAGCGTTTACCTTTGTTCTGTTACAATTTGTTTTCAATCTCGACTTTTTGTCACATAACACTGTGTTTCTAGTGATAAATATTTTTAAAATAACTTACTTTCTATGTTTTACAGCTGGAAATATAAACACTTTTATGAGAGAAGGATTATCCAATGTTTCCACTCACCTTGTGGATGAAGAAACCAATACCTTGTTTGTTGGAGGCAGAGATGCGGTATTTGCTCTTGACTTGAATAATATTTCTAGAGAAATAGCCAGGGTAAATTGAAGACTTTAATTTTTTTTTTTGCATGTCTTGTTTTCAAAAATACTTTGCCTGTGTTTTTTTAATTTGAACCTAATGTTCTGATTTTAAATGTATAAAATATTACTATTTCAAGGCTTGAAACTTTATCACAGAGTCTTTTAAGCACAGCAGTACTTCTCCAGATTATTTATCGTGCCTTGTACAATACGGAGATACATAGAAGAAAGCTTATTTTCCCAGTAGGTTCAAAGTTAGAATTATTTAGGGATTTTTTTTACACAGAGTCTTGGAGAAAAAATGGCAACATACCACCTTACAGGTATTTTTGCCTTTTAGGAATACTGGTTTGCTACACGGGAGAGACAACTGGAATGTATTCGTAGAGGAAAGGACAAGGTAGGAACTTTTGTTTCCCCCTCCAAAGTTACTAACTAAAATGAAAATGTCTGCTTTATCAAGCTTCTTTTTAATAAACAAAGTAAAAGCAAGTTCATTTAAATCTGTTGGGTTTGTTTGCGTGCTGCTGAGACACCAGGATATTTTCAGATGGAATCCGTTACATATGTAAATTTTATATTGATTTTCTATTGTAGATAAGATGCAAGAACTACATCCTCTTCCTCCATAAGATAAATAACTCTGACTTATATGTTTGTGGAACCAACGCATATCACCCAACTTGTGATCATATGGTAATTATGTTTGAATACAGGTTTTACTGAAGATATTTGAGTAGTATGGCAGGTATTTCAACACCTTTCTCAAAATATTCCTGTTGAAAATGAGAAACTTTCCTCATTCTTTTGTAAAAGTATGAAAGACCAGCAAAGTACTTAACAAATGTTATTTTTTTCATCCTATTTACGTGATCGTTTGCCATAGGTTATCCAGGGGACGAATATAAGATTGCAAGGAAGAGCTGAAGAGAGCAGAGGAAGGTGTCCATTTGAACCAACTGCAAAGCATGCGTCCGTTTTCATCGGTATGTTTGGACCGACGTGCAACCTGAAATGGCTTTCCTCCTCTAAACTAAGTTATTGGATACTGTGACCCGAATTCTGTTTTTGCATGTCAACCCCAATTTGTTCTTTATGATGTGTCTTTGCATTTTAAAAATAAGTACTTTATACTTTTTTGTTTCTTCCAAATCTTTACAGATGGGGAATTTTATTCGGCTACTTCAAATAACTTCTTGGGAACAGAGCCTATAGTACTTCGCAGTATGAGAAATCCTGTAAGAACAGAGTTTGAAACGTCATGGCTAAATGGTAAGAAGTTGTGGTTTTTTTCCTATTTAAGTCTCTTGAACTTTAATTTGGTGCATGAATTCTCCCTAGAATGTAGTAGTATGTTATGTATTGATTTTGTAGCGTGAGCTTTTGAAATAAGGACAGAGTTTAACATAAATTTGTGACTATGGACTACAGTGATGAGACGAGCCACAGCCCCTTTCCATTTACGAGAGCACAGTGCCTTCTGTTAATGTTTGATAGAGACATAAATACTTTTCAGCCCTTTCCTTGTCCACTAGTCCACCAAAAAAGTTCAATTAGACTTAACTTTGAAATAATATTTGGCATTTATATTTCTCTTGGAATAAACTTAAAATGTTTTGTGTATTTATGTGTTTCAGAACCAAGCTTTGTCAACATGGAAGTAGTGCATGAAAGTGAATCTAATCCAGATGGAGATGATGATAAAATTTATGTGTTCTTCACTGAAACAGCTGTGGAGTTTGAGTTCTATGACAAGCTTCTGGTATCCAGAATTGCCCGTATCTGCAGAGTTGGTATTTGTAGTACAAAGATTTTGTTTAGTGTATTTCAGATGAAGTTTCATAGTTGAGTGATTAACAATGGTATCTACACTGGCTAACCAAACAACATTCTGTCATACACATTTTATTTCTGAACTAGCTTCCTCTTTTTAATGCTAAAATAGAACCAGCTGTTCAGGTTGCATTTGGCATTTAAACCTTTTTCTTTACCTTTGCACTGAGATTTGTATTGAAAGGCCAACTATATTTTTCCCCACAGCAACACTATTAGGTGAAAATTCCGTCTATTTCTTTATGCGTTCTACAGTGTTGGTGTTATTCCTTCATTTAGGGGGATCTTGGTGGAAAACGCATCTTGCAGAGAAGATGGACATCATTTTTAAAATCCCGCCTTTCCTGTTCCATTCCAGAGTTAAACTTCCATTTCAATATTGTCCAGGACATCTTTTTACTTCGGAGAACAAGGTGGCAGGACAGCATATTTTATGGAATTTTTTCCCAGCAATGGTGAGATAGAGGGCTACGTATGCTACTGAAGTTTGTAATGAACTGAGTGAGGGTTCTCACTTCAGTATTAATAGCCTGAGTACAGCCTTTTGGCTTTAACTCTGAACAAGAAGCTACCAGCTACTTACGCTGCAGGTTTTAATGGACCACATTTGTTTTTCTTACAGCTTGATCCAACTGAGCAAACGTTATCATCTGAAACAAAATGTTTTTGGTTCCTGGGCCAAAGCCTTCAATTAAACACTAACCAAAAGCTGCTCCTAAGCCAAGTTTTTAGAGTTATGTTTTCTCTAGTTGGATGGTGGGGCAATTAAAACTAATTACATATAAGATTACGTGATTACATACACAAAGCCCTGGATTCTTCTGGTCTTTATATCACTAAAGGAAATAACTGACATTTCAAGGTGTAGAATTATTCTCCTGTTCCAAAAGAAGTTTTCGTCATGGCCTTCTTATCTAATGTAACGTTCTGTGAAAATGAAAAGTAGAGCTCCAAAAAAATACAAGTTTTGGGGTTAACTATCTTTTTCTTAATGCTGTGACTAATGAATAAAAAGACAAAATATGTCAAAACTTTATACGTCAAAAAATAGCAATGACAAAGTAGCCGTGAGTAGGTATTTTTCATGTTTTATAAAAGCATCAGAATTACTGGAATGCAGCACACTCAGCACTGTACAGCTTAATTTGCTGCCACCTATTTACCTGTCAGTTTATACCCAGTGGAGCTTATGTGAGTTTTATTTCGGGTTGTGGCAGGTTGAGTTCGATGTGTCGTAAGATAGGAATTCGCAGAACATTTATTCCTCTGGGTGTGGCAAACAGACTTACACTTAGTATTCACTGGTAGGAATGAAATCACATCAGTGACTGATCCAGACGCTCCTAAAAGTTTGCTTAAATTTTCAGTCATCATTTTGGAAAGCATTATAGTTGGAGGTCAAGAGGAAAAGTATTGTGTTTTCAATACGGTGAGTTAAAATGATTAGAAGAAGAATGAATGCTCTGTGTCAGAAGAGTGGAGCCAAAGGGAGGAGAATCCTATCAAAACAATTACCATAATGCTTGGGCTCATCTGTCTGTTTAGAAGAAGGCTTGTTAAAAGGTCCTTATTCTTTTGTTTCTGTTTATTTGAGGGTGGTTACTTAATTTTTAACAAAAACATATTTAATACCATCTTTTATGAATGTCTTTGTTTTAGTCTCTTCTTAGTAAATCATGCAAATGGCAACAGAGAAGTATTTTTAATGTTAAGTTTGACTAATCTTGAAAAAGACACAGCAGTGCACTGTGGAGATTGGGTTATTTAACAGCATTTATTGCTATGTAAAAGCCAGTAAAACTTGCTTCTGTGTGTTGTGTTGTGGTTTTGGTTTTTTATTTCTTCTAAGGGGAAGTTTAGACATATCAGCTGTTTGTGCGTACAGTATGGAAAATATTCAGGAAGTCTTCTCCAAAGGAAACTACAAAGGACCAGTAACTGTGGACCATTCCCCTGTGAAATGGATGGCGTATAGGGGAGAAGTGCCGGTTCCACGTCCTGGTGCTGTAAATATGAATTTACTTGTTCTAATTAAAGAACAGCCTCCGGATTATCTTTTTTTGGTAGCAAATCATTAGGTCATGTTTTACCAATATAAGTGCAGTGTTTATAATCAGCAGCCCTACCTACTTTCTCATTCCGTCATAGGAAGGTTTCTAGAAAAGCTGCCTTGCTTACTGCTCCACAACAGATGTGAGGTTATTAGCTAGTTCATAAAGTGTGAGGAAAATAATTATTTTTATCTTTTGGAGATAAGTAGAAATAACCAAATGTTTAGAAGGAAATAAATACACCTTTTTGTACACCTTGGTGAAATGTAAAAGCAATTGTAATCATGTTCATTATCTTTGGTTTCTAGTGCATTGATAATTTTGCCCGGAGTATTGGGTATAATACCTCTTTTGACTTGCCTGACAAAGTTCTGCAGTTTGTTAGAGATCACCCTCTAATGGATAACTCTGTAAATCCAATTGATAATCGACCGGTGCTGCTGAAGAGAGGTTCAAACTATACCAGGATTGTAGTAGACAGAGCCACTGGCCTAGACAAACAAACATACGACGTTATGTTTCTAGGAACAGGTAAGTGCTTTTGTTCTAGGAAAAGATCTATACATTTTTATGTATTTTGCTCCAGAATTTTTTTCCGAGACTTCAAAAAAGTAGAAGTATTCATCAGCTCTGTTTGAAGTTCTGCATTCAGAAGCTGTCTTGCTAGTTCACTATTTGCATCCCAGTTAGATTAAATGTGTTTGTCTTGTTGGACATTAAAAGGCTCTCTTTGGAAACTTTCCATATCAAAGGAGACTTGACATAATAATATTTGCAAATTCAGGGATTGTTTGAGGTCTCTTTTCCCCTGAAAAAAATTCATTGCTGCTTTTATTGAAAGAAAAAAAAAAAAGAATTGCTTTGAAGAATTTCAGAAATTCCCCATGCCCAGGAGTGTCTTCTAAATCTCTCTCTAATTTCAACATGAATTATCAGGCGAAAATGTTATGCCATGTTTAAACAAGTTTATCTTTAGAAATACATTTCATTTTATGTAGATGATGGATATTTGCATAAAGCTTTCAGTTGTGATGGGGAAATGTTCATTGTGGAAGAGCTACAGCTGTTTCTGTCTCCTGAGCCTGTACAGTCTCTCCAGCTGTCTTCTGAAAAGGTAGAACTTTTGTCCCTGCACATGGAAAGTGACTGCTGTAATAGCTTGCCTCAGGCATTGCTCTTCTGTCTTGTTCTTCTGACTTTTAAATAGCCTGTAAATGTCTCGTAATTCTACTTCTATCGTTTAGTCATTTATAGCAGAAGCAGAAAACATTTTTCTGTAGAAGAAGAATGTGCGTGTGTCAAACTAGAACTGAAACAAGCCAGTATGTTCATTAAAAAATTAGGGAAGGCACTCTGTCATTTTACATGCTATGGAAAGCTAGGTTTTTTCCTCATTCATATCACCATCTATTCTTACAAGATTTTTAGTTTACTGATATTGTTAATAAATACCAGAAAATCTTACAATCCGTACTGGAAAATAACAGCTTAAAATCTCTCTCACTTTTGTAAAAGGATTCCTTCCTGCTTTTCTAGGGAATGCTCTATGCAGGGTCCCTGTCTCAAGTGGTGCAGCTTCCAGTTTCTGAGTGCCACCGATACAAGCACTGCTTGGACTGCATCTTGGCCAGGGATCCGTACTGTGCGTGGTCTCAGTCTGTTCATGAGTGCGTTCTACTGGCAAATCAAACTGGGCATACGAAGTAAGTAAAAAGCTGTTCTTTCAGCTGCACACCTGATGTGAGATTGCTTTATGAGTGCACAGTTAATGTCTGTAACACAAAACTAGGATGATTCCTAGAAACGGAATGATACAAGCTGGAACACTTCTTGTCTGTGTTTTCATCTGTCTGTTTTTTTGGTGCATTTTTTTCAGTTTGGTTTTTTTTTTTCCCCCCAGGAATTTAATTCAAAGTGTGAAATACGGGGATGCTTCCAGCTGCCTTAGTGTAAGTATGTGAATGTTTGCTGTAAGAAAGAATATTTTAACTTCATGTGATCAAAATGCTTTGTGCTCACTGGAGTTCGTGCATTGTAGAAAACCACAGAATTATAATCGTGTTGATTGTTACTTTTGAAGTAAGACCAAAAAAACCCACACTGAGCTTGGACTGCTTGATGCTCTTAACCCTCTCAATCTAAGTGTCAGAATACTGAAGTTCAGACTGGAACTCTTGCTCTCAGGGGAAGCATAAATGTGACCTGTTTGAAGTTCCTGGTGTCCCTCCCACACCTGCTTTGCAGGACACATCAGCTGTCCTGTTAAATCTGTCACTGCTTTAGGATGCTGCTGTGCAGATACATGACATACTGTACAAGAGTATGCTTAAAAAGAAGGCTATTTGTTATCAGCCATTTAAAATTATTTTTATTTTTTTAGTGGGGTTGGGAAATTAATTGCTTTTAGTGTAGACTTGCAGGTGTGTGTGGTATTATTATGCGGTGACTTTATAATGACTTGCGAGATACATTGCTTTCTTCAGTGGTACAAGATGTATCTCTTACCTCCGCTTACGTCTCTTCAAAGTCAGAGTTGTCTTTAGTCTTGTATGTTTTAGACTGCAGGACAGATGGTGATAAGGCATTCAGTGGGACAGTTGGGGAACTTTTACATAGCCGATAGAAGCATTGTGCAGACGTCAAAGCATTTGTGTGAAGAGATGTCATTAACCAATATAGAAGTTGAGGCATACAAAGGTGAATTTATTTATGCATGGCTATGTATACAGGTGAGACAAAATCAGATTAAAATCTGGAAGTCTTAAACTTCTAGTCCCCTATTCATTGTGTTACACCTTGGTGGGAATAAGGCCAGCAAGATGTCACTGATAGTCAGACCTGTTAGTAATGGGATTTCTTTGCCTTTACCTCTTACTTGTTCTTTACCCGTTGTCAAGACTGGGAAATTAAATTTTATATTTATTTGAATATGTATTTGGTTTTGTAAGTTAAACTAAATCCCCAGTGTTCTTACTTTTAAAAAAATTATCTTCATAATTTCAGAACATAGTGTGAGAAAATGTCTCTTTACCCTTGGAAACAATGTTCATCTTAAATGTGTTCCTCTGTCGAATCTGGCAAGCATAGTGTGGAAGTTTAATGGGAGCAGACTTCAGGCTGAGGACTCTAAATATCTCCTCTATGATGGAGGAATAGCAATCTTTAATATGACAATGGATGCAGCTGGATTCTATGATTGTCTCTCAGTAGAGAAATCCAAAGGGAAGGAATTCCTCATCACTGTGGCCCGCTATGCCCTGTATGCCCAAGAAAAGGCAGAGGAAGGAAATGTTACTGCCACAGCAAATAAGCATAGTGAAGCCGGAGCTGAGGGTTTTCAGTCTTCAGTACCACCTTCTTTACTGAACGAGGCAGCGAAACAGAAATCAGAGGACAGCCAAAGCGAGAAGCTTGTTTTAAAACTCTTGGGGAGTGGGTTCGCTTTTCTTTTCTTTTTGTTGTTGGTTTGGAACTTTTACAAGGGTCACTTATCTCTGCCTTGGAAGAGGAGAGGAACCAGCTCAGAAACCACGGGTACAGCTGGCGTGGGAAGTCCAGCACCGACTGCAGAGGAATCGGGCAGTGCAAGGAAAAGTTCAGCCACACAAACGAGCATGTCCTGTGTTAATGAATCAGTCCTTGTGAGCTTTCCTTAAGGGTTGCGGCGCCAGTGCACAGTGCAGGGCAAGTTTCACAGAGCGCTCGGGGAGCATGCAGCTCACAGAGGTGGTTGGTGACGATGACATGCCGTTTCCTGTTACGGAATGCGGAATGTAAATTTGGGTAGGAGCAGAAGTTCTGAAGTGAAGGTGACAAGCTGCATTGTGTATTATGTAGATGTGTTACCGGTTATTACTTTTTAAAAGCAGAATTCCATGTTTGGGTACATTTTTGACGTGGTAGAACAGTAAGAATAAATTTCTTTCAATAATTGACACTGATCCACTTTTTTGTAATGTTGGGGTTGCCCAATTACAGAAATGAACTTCAGAAGCTAATAATACTTAGCATTTAGTGATTTCACCTTCAGACTTTCTGTTTAATCTACGAATAGCAACTAATTAAGTCTCCCAGTGCCCCAGGAGGTTGCTACTATCCTCATTCTACATGTGAGGTTAAATTACTTGTCACTGACCATAGTGAGTATTGGTGTCAGGTCTGGTGCTTTGTTAGAAGTTCCCGAGTCATTTTCCTATATTTTATCTTTCTTTATTTTCCTCTCCTTTCCCTTTATTTAAGCTTTCAAAACACTTTCCACACATTTATTTTTCTAAGGTGTTTTTAGTGACCTTTATGATACATCTGCCTCTGTCCAAAAATGTCATGAATCAGCTTACGTCCTGCAGCATTGTTCTGAATTTATTTCCAGGGGGTGGTCAAAATTCAGGCATTGTAACTCCTTTTGTTGAAGGACATTGAAGGTCGAGCATTTTTTCTGAGACACTTTCTTCTTAATTTTCAAATAAATGTTCTTTTATGATTTTTTTTTTTTGAAAATAACATGGGTTCTTGATGACAGAAATCCCTGAACAAAAGGCTGTGCTGCCTCACTCTGTCTCTTGCCAGACATGCATAAAGTACAAGATTGATATTCTTCGAGACACGGCACATTTTTTTCAAGTTTTCACATAGCTATGGAAGGAGAAATCTGCTGGGAAATGGATTCTCCTGTGTGGAGGAATGCTTGGAAGTGAAGACGATGTCTACAGTATAGATACTTGGATAGGAAGAAAGACCAGCTAAGCAGCTGCTCAGTGCTTTTTCTCCCTTAAAACGTAAATAGGTTAAGCTTCTTTACGAGTCGTAGTCTCTGCTTTTAGGATGCCTTCTTTCTCATAGGATCAAATTATTCTGTTACGCTTCATAACAACAAGTTCTTGTGTATTATGTGCAAATACCACAGAAGGAAGTTGAACTTCCAAGAAGCAAATTCACGGATTACTGCGTCTGTCTGTGATGCCACTGCTTAACAACACAGCAATGTTTGCACTTTCCGTGGAAGGATGTAAAGGTGGCAAACAACGTCAGTCTTTCTAGCAAGGGGAAGCCATGAGCATGAAGTGGGGACAACAGAGCTGTATAAAATGGCTGTCTGCAAATGGAAAGACTGGATAGCTGCTGGAAAACCGTTATGCCAAGGCCTGCCTGGCGACATTTCAGTGATTGTATCCGAGAATTACCGAAACAAGATCTGAGGTGCGTATCTTGTCTCATTTTGACAGGGACTCTACTTCCGTGCAGGGTTCCTTTACCTGTATTCCTGCTCCCTATATGCAAAGGGCTGTGTGGAAATTAACGATGCAGACTGGGTGGTGGTATGTAACTAATAACATCGGAAGTGATCGAAATTTCCATTATCTTTGGGGACAGTTTCTCTCTTCCCTTAGTGGCAGGAAGTGCAGATGGAATACAAAACCCCATTTCAGAAAATCCTCACAAGGCTACCAGCATTTTTTAATGTTTAAAATAAAAAGCTTCTAAGAGAAGTCATAGATAAGTTACAGGTGACAGGTTGATATGAAGGATACTGTGCCCTACTTTCAGTCGTGTCTGCGATGGAGTTTTGGTCCTTTTGTCATTGGTTGCTACGCTGCACGTAGGAAGGACGGAGAATATGGGGCGAGAGGGCGGCTGGTGCTCGGCGCTGTGACGGAGCCAAGGCGGTTCTTCAGCCGCGTGTTCAGCTGCCAGCGCAGAGCAGCCGTCCAGCGCTGCTCTGACTTCAGTCTGCAACGACCTCTGGGTGTAGGCCGATACACTGGGAAAAAGCAAACCTTCCCCATCGCTTCTAACGTTGGTTCAGCTCTCTTGGTGCCAAAAATCTTTTATGCTGACAGCTGCTGCCATTGTTTCAAGCAGAGCGTTACCTTAGCATGCTCAGAATATGTCTTGATGTCACGCTTACAATTTCCAGCAGCAAGCCATAACCCCAGACACGGGTGCTAGTGGTGGGGACACTGGTGACAAGGGCTTACACCTGTCCCAGTAGACTTGCCTCCTATAAATACATAACAAAAAAGGCCAGAGGGAGAACACTGAAAGTGGAATGTGAGAAGTGTTATTGCTAGTGTTTATGCTGCTGGTATTGAACTCAGCTATGAATACTGCGAAATTCTGAATGCTACTTCCACCTTCTATTGTAAAATTACCAGGACAGAGCGTACTATTTTGGTGCAAGTTCTGAAGTTATTAACACACGGAGAAATTAATGTGCAGAAGTGTCTGGGATTAACAAAATCTCTCTTGGGAAGATTTCCTATTAAAGTGTCCTGATACGTGTGGAGCATAAAGGGGACTGGGATCATCCAGCAGCGAATAACTCGGCACCACTGGGTCTGCTCAGGGGAAGCTTCGTGTTAGAGTGGTGGCGTATTTTAAGGCAGAACTGAGGCCCTTGTGGGAATGAAGTGAGGAGTATTGGTGTTCAGTCAGGAGTTGAGTGTGCTGGTGGAGGTGTCCTGGAAGAAATGTGGAAATAGTTTCCTGCCAAAGCCAAACTTCAGGTTCTTTACTAGGTGTGTTTGTATGAGCAGCGTGCACAGTTATTACCTTCTCTGAGAACTGTGTAGAACTGGTCTACAGCTTCGAAGCTTGTGACTTAAAGCCCGGAGTAACTGCAAGCAGTAGAATTGATTCACCCTGCCCCGTATAGTTGATGCTGGTTGGTTTTGCTTTTTGTCACGCACACATCAGAACAGGCAGTGTGTTCACGTGTGGGCCCCATCCTCGTTACGTGTGGAAACACTGGCATGGATGCACGTTGGGCTTTGCCCGCAGAACAGAACGCGAGCAGCGCCCGGAGCAGCTGCTGTTTCCAGACTCTGCTGCAAACCATTTGGGTGTAATGCTCAAAAGGGGAAGGCGTGGAAAGATCCGTTCCCGGTCTGGCTGCCTGTTACCTGCATGAGGCCACGCTATTGGTGCATCTCTGCCTAGGTGATTAAAAATGCATCTTACTCCTAAACTGACCTGCTCGGCGTCTGCTGGCAGCCCTTGGAGCTGGTTACGCCTGCGCGGGCTAAGCTGGAAAGCAGTCATGTAGAATTTCTTTTTACCAGGATGTGTTTTATGGTTATGATCAGGTCGCTTTGATGAGCAGATGAAGCGCTTTTATGCTTTCAATGCAGTGTGTTGTTTTGTGCTCTCTCATGGCTCTCCTACGAGCCCTGTCCCGTTCTTCGGCGTCCCGCAGGCGTGGGCACTAGCCCTGGGCAGAGTGTTCCTGGGGTAGCCCGCGTACCTCACCTCGCCGTACCTGGTCACCAGAGCCGAGGAGCGCATGAGCTCCTCCGGCCACAGCGGCACGCTGGGAGCGGCTGGTTGCTGATCCCCGCTCTGCTTCCCTGGGCCTTTTCAGCCTCCCTTCTTCCCAGCCCCTTTCCCTGTTTCTGAAAAATACATTCACGGCTGATGTTAATTTTCCACTTGTATAAATGACTTCGCAACAGACAGAACAGCGACGCGCGCCCTGTTTCTGGTAGGAGATGTCTAGACTCAGATGAAAGAACACCAGGGTTTTTTTTTTCTGTGAGTAACCGGCACCCAGGTGGATCCCAGTGCCCAGGTGGATCCCTGACCCAGGGTGAATCCCAGCACCTGTGTGGATACCAGTGCTTGTGTGGATCCTGGCATCTGGGTGGATCCCAACACCCGGGTGGATCCCCATGCCCGGGTGGATCCCCATGCCCGGGTGGATCCAGTGCTGGTTCGGATCCTGGCATCTGGGTGGATCCCCATGCCTGAGTGAATCCCGGTGCCCAGGTGGATCCTAGTGCCTGGGCAGATCCCAGCACTTGTGTGGATCCCAGTGCTGGTTTGGATCCTGACAGCCGGGTGAATCCCCGTGCCTGGGTGAATCCTGGCGCTCGTGTGGATCCCAGTGCTGGTTTGGATCCTAGCATCTGGGTGGATCCCCATGCCCGGGTGAATCCCGGTCCCCAGGTGGATCCCAGTGCCTGTGCGGATCCCAGTGCTGGTTTGGATCCTGGCGTCTGGGTGGATCCCAGCACCCGGGTGGATCCCCATGCCTGGGTGGATCGCGGGGCCCGTGCGGGTCCCGGTGCCCGTGC